CCCAGTACTTTGTAACGGAAAAGAAATCAGGGGGATGGAGACCGATACTAGATCTTCGCGACCTCAACCGTTTCTTATGAAAACAACGGTTTTGAATGGTTACCTTAGCTACAATCATCCCAGCACTTCAGAATGGGGATTGGTTCACATCCCTCGATCTTCAGGATGCATACTTTCACATTGCGATTCATCCAGCGCACAGACGATTCCTACACTTCCAAATCGGTACAGACCATTTCCAATATAAGGTCCTGCCGTTCGGTCTCTCGTCGGCTCCACGGGTTTTCTCCAAGACCCTGGCTGTGGTGACCGCATATCTTCGTCATCTACACATAATGATCTTTCCATACCTCGACAATTGCTTAATCAGAGCCCAATCATTGCAGGAAGCGTGCAATGCTACAGAGACAACACGCACGCTATTCCTTCGTCGTCTACACATAATGATCTTTCCATACCTTGACGATTGCTTAATCAGAGCCCAATCGCTGCAGGAAGCGCGCAATGCTACAGAAACAACACGCACTCTCTTCCAGGAGCTAGGTCTCATTCTCAATGTTCCAAAGTCATCATTGGAACTGCACCAAACAATACAGGTATAGGCACTCGTCTAGACTCTATGACCGAGCGTGCGCCATTACCGATGGAAAGGTTCTAGACGATGCAGGATTTGATCCAGATCTTGCTCAACAGTCCAACGGTTCCCATACTACGGTGCCTACTGCTTATGGGACACATGGCTTCCACAACATATGTGGTCAAACACGCAAGGTTACGTTTTCGATGCCTTCAACATTGGATGGCACGAATCTGTCCCCCCAATGTACGCGACATCCACAGGACAATAACGGTTCCCACCCAGGTCAAGAAATCACTAGCTTGGTGGACAAGTCCAGACAATCTATTGTCGGGCGTACCCTTTCATCGCCCTCAGCCGTCGGCGCAGTTGACAACAGATGCGTCACTCATCGGATGGGGCGCACACCTCGGCCCCGAACAAGTACAAGGCCTATGGTCACCAGACGAATCATTGATGCACATCAACTTCCTGGAGCTCAGGGCAGTGTACAGAGCATGTCAACACTTCCTTCCCATCATTCGGGGACAGGTCATACGAGTCCTTACGGACAATATGACAACCGTTTATTATGTAAACAAGCAGGGTGGGGCCAGGTCCCACTCCTTGTGCGCAGAAGCGGTACATCTATGGAACATGTGCAATTGCCACAATGTCTTTTTAGTCGCAGACTATCTCTTGGGCCACCACAATGTGATGGCCAACGCCCTCAGCAGGCATTTTTCTCTCAATCACGAGTGGGAGTTACATCCCACAGTGCTCTCGGCGATATTTCAACGATGGGGATTTCCGCTAGTAGACCTCTTTGCCACTTCTCACAATGCGAAATGTCCTCAGTATTGCTCGAGACCAGGAATTGGGCGAAATTCAAAAGGCGACGCTTTCCTATACAACTGGGGACGTCACCTACTTTACGCTTTTCCACCCACACCCGATTCCCAGGGTAGTGGAGAAAATTATTCGAGAGAGGGCCACAGTAATCCTAATAGCCCCTGCCTGGCCCAGGCAAACATGGTATCCGTACCTCCATCGCATGTCGATACATCCTCCGTGTCCTCTACCAATTCAACACGATCTGCTCTCGCAAAATCATCGCTCCCTTCTCCATCCGCAGGTGGACCATCTCGCACTCACGGCATGGTACCTAGTTGGTTCCGACAGTCAGAAATATTATGCTCACAATCTGTCAAGCACATTTTACTAAACAGTAGAAAATTATCTATGCGAACTACTTACCTCTCAAAATGATCACGCTTCTCATCATGGTGTTTCCAAAAGGCTCTGAATCCAGTTTCTACACCTCTGCAGTGTATCCTGGACTACCTTGTACACCTCAAAAATTCGGGCCTTACCTGTGCTTCCATTAGAGTCCATGTCGCTGCTATAGCAGCCTTTCATCAGCCTGTCAACAGATGTTCCGTTTTTTTCCATCCGACAACGAAAAGGTTCTTGAAGGGAATGTCCAACTTGTATCCACATTATACTCAACCGGTGGATCCTTGGGACCTCGAAATGGTCCTGTATACTCTGATGGGCAAACCCTTCAAACCGTTAGCAACATGCAATCAATATGACCTGTCCATGAAGGTCATTTTCTTGCTGGCAATTACTTCTGCGAGGAGAGTGAGTGAGCTAGCTGCACTATCAGTCTCTCCTTCCGATACGGTTTTTACACACCAAGCGGTGATATTGCGAACGCAACTGCGTTTTCATCCCAAAGTGATCTCTCGTTTTCACATCAACGAGCCTATAATTCTTCCTATATTCCATCCCAAACCACATGCTTCACCAGAACATGCGCACTTGCACACTTTGGACGTCAGACGTGTTCTCGCCTTCTATATTGAGAGAACCAGACCCTTTCGAGTGGCGGACTCGCTATTAATATCAATGGTGGACTGTTCTAAAGGTCGGTCATTGTCCGCTCAATGCATCTCCTCCACTATTGTGCAATGCATAGGAACTTGTTATAAACTGCGAAAGAAACCACTGCCTTCGACCCTGAGGGCCCATTCGACTCGGGTGGTCGCTACGTCCACTGCATTCCTCAAGGGAGTTCCCCTGATAGATATCTGCAGAGCTGCTACGTGGTCTTCCAACCTAACCTTCGCTACACATTATGCCATCCCTAATCTCTTAATACCTGATTCGGCGGTGGCGGCAGCGGTGTTATCCTCAGCTACGGCATGCTAGCTCCGAACCCTCCTCCATTTGCAAGCTACTGCTATACATTCACTTACAGTGGAGCACCAACGGGACACTGCTCGAAGAAGAAAAAGAAGTTACTCACCTTGTGCAGTAACGATTGTTCTTCGAGATGCGTGTCCCGTGGGTGCTCCACGGCCTGCCCTCCTCCCCTCTTCGGAGTTTCTCTACTTTATGTCTTTCAGAGCAAGAGGCAGGAGAAACTGGCGGGAGCCGGACCGTCAACGCTCAAATGGCGCGAAAAGCCACGAGCCGTACTTCGCGCATGCGTGGTCTGGCAGATTACGGCTAGAAAAGATCTCCGATCTGCGGCACCGGGACAAGCCCGACACCTACAGTGGAGCACCCACGGGACACGAATCTCAAAGAACAATCGTTACTGCACAAGGTGAGTAACTTCTTTTTATTAAAAGTCAAGGGAAAAAATACATGGACAGATGATCGCTGGTGTTTTCCCATCATAGTAAAAAGCACTGAAACAACAATCAACATTTTGACCTCCACACAAAAATGACATTTTAGTAGAAGCCAAATTAGTAGAATCTTGTAACATATGCAGCTGCTGGCGCAGATTAGCAAGAGAAGGCAAAACACCACTTTCCTGTTTTTCACATTGATTTAGAGCTGTGTAGAGACTTAAATTCATACAAAAGGAAGGTCACACCTGTTAGCAGCCATGTAAAGGCCTGGTCATAGATAGTCTTCAGAGAATGCCCAGACGTCTGTGTAAGCAGATAACAAAATGGCAACTGACCACAGAGATGAAGTAATTTCACGGGAAATGAGCAAAAAGGGAAAATGCCTTTGGGAGAATAATATTTATCAAGGCAGCAGAATTCAGAATTGTCAGGGTAATACTGGGCTGATCAATGGGATTTAGGCCTCTTCTCATCTAGGTGTCATAATGCTGAAACTCATGCCCGGTACAATACCCATTTCCCAGCCTCTCCGGGCTGACATTTCACCCATTTACACAAGGCAGGCAGGCAGAAGTGCCTCAGCTTAGAGGCAAGAGAGCAAAGAGCGCTGGGTGTAGAGTTGGCAAATCTGAGCAAGCTCCCACTGGTTCCAGGAGGGCGATCTGACTCAGGCTTGGCACAACCCGACTCCCTTATGTTCAACCCAGGCTGCTCCAACCTATGGCCCTGCTGCTTAGGTCATCTCAGCTCCTCTGAGCCCAGCCTAGAGGGGTGCAGAGCCTGACCCGTTATCTCAGGGGGGCTAGATGTAGATTGACCAAGGACAGCCCAAGCGGGACCCATGCGTGCCAGTTCGGGCCTAGTTGGCCCAATGTAAACCAACCTTCTTCTCATCCCTTCTGCCCCCCATGGGCCAGACTCCATGAAGACTGGCTGCTGATGTCAAACCGTTGCTCGTGGTAGGACTTAACCTTTATTGGTTGCTGGTGAGAAGGGGCGGTGCCTGTTGAGGTGCCTGAACTATATATACTGGCAGCCGCAGCCCCTACTCCCCTTTCCTCTGTGGCTGGGTGTGGGAGGTGAGTGTAGCAGAGGACAGGCCCCAATCTGCTTTGGGAGCTGGGAATGGGTCCAGTGAGGAGGATTGGGGTATTCTGGTGGGGGTTAGGGCAAGTCATTTGCTCTGGTGGTGAGGGGGGAGATTGGGGTGGGCCTGAGGTGTCTTGCCCAGGGTGGGAGGTGGCCACCGCGGTGGGGGGGGAGGTCCCGACCTTCCAGCGCTGGCTGACATTATGATTCTCCTCACACACGTTAGAACTTTTGACGTGGACGAAGTGAAGCCGAGTCTGAGTCACTGGGGCCTGCTTTGCCCAGAGCCTCTTCCCACCCAGCCCTGTCCCTGTGCACTGGGGCTGTGAACCTCATCGGCTCCTGTTCCTCGCAGGCGCCTCAGGAGCTGGCCCGCGCCCTGCTGCAGTCACCGGAGAACATTATGATTCTCCTCACACACGTTAGAACTTTTGACGTGGACGAAGTGAAGCCGAGTCTGAGTCACTGGGGCCTGCTTTGCCCAGAGCCTCTTCCCACCCAGCCCTGTCCCTGTGCACTGGGGCTGTGAACCTCATCGGCTCCTGTTCCTCGCAGGCGCCTCAGGAGCTGGCCCGCGCCCTGCTGCAGTCACCGGAGAGCTCCCCCCAGAACCGCTCCAGCGCCCGCTGGCCCATGCTTGTCAACGGGGGAAGAACGTTCAGTAAAACAGCAGCAGAATGGCTGAGCCGGTCTCCTCGCTGAGCGGCGCGACGCTGCGTTTGAGCGGGTGCGGTGTCCCTCGGGTGGCTTCGCCCACTAAGCAACGGTGCGAGAGGAAAAGCTTGTTGGTAACTGGGGCTGCTTGGCTAAAACCCGAGTGGCGCTTTTAAGAGTGAGCAAGAGGCTGGTGCTGAGGCAACGCTGAGAGCGCGCTTGAAGACCAAGATTAAACTAACCCACTTGGCCCTGCTGGTTGAAGGAGGGAGCTGAAGAGGGGGGAGGGTGGCTTAATGGAGACGGTATCAGCCTCTGGAGCTTGGGATTGTGGAGTTGGGCCCCACTCATTGCCCCCCCACAGAGATTGGAGCCCCCCCCCCATCCAGCTCCTGCACCCTTCCTCATGGCCAGACTACCACTCCTAGCCTGCTGCTGCCCCTGTGCCCCAGGTCCGGGGGGGGAAACACGGCTGGTGGCCCCAGGCATGAGGGTTGTCAGTTCTTGGCACTGCCCAGGCGACAGCGCTGTTTCCTCAGAGCCATGCGCCGCGTCTTGTCCCCGGCCCTAATCCTGGCCCCGCGATCTAGCTGCGGTGACCCTGTCCCCTCGGCAAGCCACTGCTGCCCAGCCCTGGCCAGGTGAGGTAATCCGGCCCCAGCGAGCCCCCCCCACCACATACTCTACTTCCAGCCCCCTGCCCTGCTTCCTGACCCTCCTGCACCCCAGCCCAAACTCCTGCTCCCCCTCATCCCCAGCCCCCTCCCACACACCCCTGCCCTGAGTCCCTCCTGCACCACTGCCTAGACTCCTGCACCCTCTCCTCCCCAGCCCCCTCCCGCACACCCCTGCCCTGACTCCCTCCTGCACTGCAGCCCAGACTCCTGCACCCTCTCCTCCCCAGCCCCCTGCCATAAGAGTGACAAAAGACAGCCTAAATGCGGGCATGAAGCTGGAGTTGACCAGCTATGCTGTAAACTTTCAAGAACTGTGCGAAAAGCTGCAGCAGCAGACGTCCCATTCAATAAAGTGGGTGAGTACAAGGATTCATTGATGCTATTAGTAATCATCATGTCAATTAATAATAGTAAGTTGTATATTTCCAGTCATGGAAATGGGCATTCTTATGTTGACCGCTTGTTCTGACTTTTGATGGAATTTGGCTCTTCGGTTTGAAAAGGTTGCAGACTCCTGAACTAGAATCTACTGATTCAGACACCCAGTAAGCAGCACTTTCCAACTTCATTAGAGTCATTACAATCATTGTGTTACTCAAATGTATACCTGGCACATCCTATTACAATGCAATTACATGGCATGTCTGCTGGTTATTGGCAGGGCTGTTTACTCGCACGTGCAGGCAGGAATTGGTGTGGGGTGCTATCGATGTCCCTCTGTTCTATATTAGTTCCTTTCAAGCTGCTTCCCCGCTCTATTATGGGGCCTGAACAAGTCTTTCCTCAAGCCTAATATTTAACCGGTTTTGTCTCTGCTCCTTTCTAAATCTGTTCATAAATGAATCTCCTCCGCCCAGGTGCTGGCTTTGATCTCCCAGCTGCCAAGAGTCTGAGCAAGGGTCTGAGGGATGCTTGGGTCCATGTGTAAAGAACTGAACAAGCGCCTCTCCTTTGTGATTAATGTATTTGGCATCGGAGGGGAGAGCCATAGTCTTTGTCACTCCAGTGTAAATCCAGCGTGTAGGCCAGCGTGAATGCAGCAGTTGTCTTATTCATACTGGAATTGGAAGATTTATCCGGCATTGCTTAGACCTTGCATTGAAGGGGAATAGATGGCAATGTTCCCATATGAGTCGGGGTGGAAGGGCTTGGAGTTGGGGCAGTCCCAGCCAGCCAACCTCTTTCCCCTGCCTGGTGATTGTCTCTTTTCTGTTTGGTTTTATGGAGCAGCAATCCCATTCCAAGCACATCCCATTGTCCTGGCACAAACAAACCCTTGTTGGGCCTAGCTCTTACCGTTTAGAAGAAATTCTTGAACAGACAGACCGACAAACTCTCTCAAATAGACTAGAGTCGAATTTGGGCTCCACACACACTGTGCATTTTGGACTCTGCCAATCTAATTGTCTTTTTCTGTCAACTCGGTTTTGGGCACAGGAACTCAGTCACGAGGGTTGCACCTTTTATAACCTTTTGCATAGCGCTGATCAAATGTTTTCTGTCCCTCTTTCCCCCCCCCCATTCAGATATTTGGCTTGTAGTTTTAAAATAGATCTGCTGTCACAAATCTAACCCCAGGGGCTTAAAACCTGCATGAGGCTCTTGTGATTTTGGCTGTGCTGGTGTTCTATTATTTAAAAAAAAATCCAGCTGAGTTAGTCATCTATTTATTAAATGAAAATCAGTGTCAGCACTCTTATCGAGTAAGGTTAATTAAGACTGCTGTACTTTTCCTGGCACAAGTGTGCTTTCAATGCATAATATAGAGCAATGTTTCTTCAACTTTTTAAGACCAAGGAACACCAAGCAATTTTTTTAATGCGGAACACCAAGGGTTAAGGGGGAAAAAAAAGGACAGGGAAAAGTTATTGAGCAAAAAAACAAAAAAAAAACAGGCATTGCCATGGAACACACTTTAAGAAACACTGATATATAGAGGTGGTAAACAATTTTTTTTAACGTGAACGTATAATGATGTTATACAACAGCACATGCCTTTAGCAAATAAATAGCGTGCTACATAAAAAGAAACAATGGGACAGACCATGGCTACCCATAGGCTTTGTACTGAGAACTCCATCCTCCTATAAATATTAGTGTCTAATCCTGCATCACTTTGGTGTCTATTTTCTAGGTCCCTTGTGGCTCATGTAGTCCCACCTTCCATCCTCACCAGACTAATTTTATTACCCATCATTGGTTTTAAGTCCATAAATATATTTGAGAGAGTTTGTCTGTGTCTGTCTGTCCAAGAACTCCTCCTAAACAGTAAGAGCTAGGACCACCAAATTTGCTATGCAGCGTCCTCGTATCATAATTGAAAACAAGGTCAGAGCTTGGTTGTGCCAGGACAATGAGATGTGTGTGGAATATGATACTGAGCCGCTCATCCCCAGCCTCACCACAGAGCAGTGCTTTGAATGACGCCAGTTCATTTTCATTTAATTTTTCAAAAATAAAATCAGAACAAAAACCAAAACAAACACACTCCTCACAGTCCTCACTCACTGAGTTTAAGGACCTAGCAACACTGGATACATCTAGTAAATACAAAAAGAGTGAAGGGATTTCACATACTCTATTGGCAACTTGTTCCATTTCCCACCAAGTCTGCAGTTACCATTTTCCTCTAAAATTATATTTCCACTTCAATTTCTTTGTGTGGCATAAACCCATTAGTTCTGCACTCATCTACAATATATTTGAGAGTTTGTGTGTGTGTGTGGGTCTGTCTGGCCATGAGTCTGTTGGTTAAAGAACTCCTCAACAGTAAGCGCTAGGACCAGCAAATTTGCTGTGAAGCTTCTTTTTATCATAACGTAAAGCAAGGTCAGAGCTTGGTTGTACCAGGATGATGGGATGTGATTTGTTTCTCATCAAACAGAAAGGGAGGGGTTTGGTAACAGGGACAGTTATACTCTTGAATGGCCACAGGGGGGCAGCAAGTGCCCTAGCACAAGGGAGCAGCCACTGCCCAGGCAACGCAGTCTCTGCCACCCTGGTCTGGGCCCAGGGAGCCGCCCCAGGCATGTCCTAGGTAGCAGCCGGCTGCAGGGCAGTGCGGCCTCCACCACCACGAGATGGCTCTGGGGAGTGGCCCCCATTCCCTGCCCTCAGCCCAACTCCCTGCCCTGACTCCTGCACCTCCACTTCTCCAGCCTTCTGCCCTGAGCCTCCCACATCCCCCAACCCTGCCATGATTCCTGCACCCTCCACACCCCCTCCCCGAAAGGGCCCAAGCCACACCGAGTAAAAAGTTCTAGTTTACAGCCTCTCCCTGAGTTATGAACGAGTTATGGACCAAACATTTGGCCGTAACTCGATCTGTTCATAACTCGGACCCCATTGAGTTACATAGCGACCGCACTGTTCGTAAGCGCGGGTCGTGTTCAGAACTCGGGGACTGCCTTTACGACCGCTCCATGGGAGCTTTGGTCGTAAATGTGAACGGTCGTAACTCGACTGTTCATAACTTGGGGACCGGCTGTATTAATAAGAATAATTGATCAAGAGGAAGGTTGGTCTGGTACAGTGGTTCTCAACAAGGGATACATGTCTCCTTGGGGGTACGCAGAGGTCTTCTCATCTAGATAGTTGCCTAGTTTTACAACAAGCTCCATAAAAAGCACAGGTGAAGTTAGGTACAACATATTTCATACAATGGCTTATTTATATTTTCTGTATGCTATACACTAACATGTAAGAATATTATTTCTATTCTGATCGCTTTATTTTACAAGTACATGGTAAAAATGAGAAAGTAAGCAATTTTTCAGGAATAGTGTGCTGTGACATCTCTGTATTTTTATGTCTGGTTTTGCAAGCAAGTGGTTTTTAAATCTAGTGAAACTTTAGGGGTCTTTAAAGGCAAATCAAAACTCTGAAAGGGGTACAGTCATTTGGAAAGGTTGAGAATTAGTGGTCTAATAAGCAGAATGCAGATTTGAGAATAGCAGTATTTGGTTTCCTTCAGGGCATCCCTGCTATAAGTCGCTCTGGTATACATCCGTTCCACACACAAGTCGTTGACGCTTGTAGGAACTGATGCATTACAAGTCCTCCCATTCCCCGCTCTTAAGTCGCAGAAAACAAAAAAGCTATTTGCGCAAATGGAAGTCAGCTGCAGGAAAAAAATTCCCCACTTCAAGTTGTTTTGCTGTAAGTCCAAGTTTTTTGGAAGTATCTTGGACTTATAGCGAGGATGGCCTGCAGTACAGATTTTCTGTGGGACCATGAGCAAAACATGCTAACTCTATAGGTTTGCTTTATCACCTGGGAAAGTGGATGTAACCAGCCAGCTCCAGGGCACCATGGGAGAATTAACTCATTCATTCTTCTGAAGTGCTTTGAGGGCCTCTGATGGAAATTCACTAATATTTAACGTACTTTACCTATTTTACAAACATTGTCTCCATCCTCCTTGCTCTGTGCTAACTTCCTAGTTTCCTTAATCAGCCTTCAAGTTATTTTCCCAAATCTTTATTTCTTTTTGCTTCTCCTTTTCCTCTGAATTA